ACTCTGATAAAGTACTGTTAGTGCACCATACCAGACTTGATTTGGGTCTCAGCAATTTTCCAGTCATCCCCTTCTCTGCCAGGCCCTGACCAGGGAACTGCATTGCATTGGTCCTTGCTCTGCTTCTTAGTCTTTTCTTATTTTTCATGACCCTGACAATTTTTTTTTTGTTGTTGTTGTTTGTTTGTTTTGTTTTGTTTTTGAGACTCACTTTGTCACCCTTGGTAGAGTGCTGTAGCATCATAGCTCACAGCAACCTCAAACTCTTGGGCTCAAGTGATCCTGTTGCCTCAACCTTCCGAATAGCTGGGATTATAGGCACCTGCCACAACTCTTTTTCTTAGAGACAGGGTCTGGCTTTTGCTCAGGCTGGTCTCAAACTCATGAGCTCAGGCAATCCACCTGCCTCGGTCTCCCAGAGTATTAGAATTATAGGCGTGAGCCACCACACTGGCCCCGACCCTGCTTGAGTAGCACTGGCCAGCACTGGCCAGGTATCTTGTAGGATGTTTAGGTTTGTCTGATGCTTTTCTTATGATTATCCTGGGGTTCTGGGTTTTTGGAAGGAATACACCAGGTGAGGCACCCTATCACATCCAATGGGGTATGTGCTAGCCTCATGATTGCGCGCTTGGTTTGGACGCTGTTTCCCAGGTCTCTCCACTGTGAGGTACTATTTTTCCATTCCCTGCTCCAACCAGGAAGTGAGTCACCAAGTTTTGGACCATCCTGGGGGAGGGAGACAGGGTGTGGGCAAGGATTAAGCTCCTCCTCCTGAGGGGGGCATAGCTGCATATATTCAGATATTGTTTGGACTTCTATAAGGAAGATTTGCCTGTTCTCTATTTATTGGCTGATTGTTTTTGATTGAATTTTTATTTTTATCCAGAGAACACATGTACCTAGTTTACAAAGTTAAGGCTTATGAGTAGAATAGCTGCCTATAGTCTTATAGTTACTACTTCTGGTATGGCCAGAATCTGTAACATGCTTACTCTACTATTTGTATTTCATTTTTATCCCCTATTTTATCTTAGATTGGGTCATACGAAACTGCCAATATTCACCCATTTTTTAACCTGCAAAAACGACGATTTCATATGGTTCAACTGAGTTGCCTCATTTTGTTTAGTTGTGAATTGTGACTTTGTATTTGTCCCTCATCTGACCTGGCTCAGGGATTAGCCTCTGAGCTCAGCCACTGCTGCAGGCTCCTCTTGCCCAGATGGCATCTTGGAGCCTGGGTTAGAAAGAGGGCCGCAGGGTGTGAGGTCAGCTTTTCTGTGATCACTGTCCCCCACACCAGGCCAGCCTGGAGCTGCCAGCTGGTGAGCTAGGCCTTGGGCTGCCTGAGCTCTGTCGCTTTGCCAACATCCTTGGAAAAGTCTTGTGCTCATTAGTGGACTGGGCCCCAGGCATATCACCTTGCAGGGTCTGTGGTCACTAGTCCAGCTCTCCAGGTGTAGCTACAGGGAAACTATTGAACCCTCTGAGCCTCAATTTCCCCTGTAAGATGGGGATTATTAAAGAAACCAGACAGGCTTCTTCAGTGATAGAACCATGGGTACTTGTCCTAAGACCATCATCAGTGCTGTTGGGGTTGAGCACCTCCCTATACACCATTCCAGGCCCCTCTGATCTGTCCTTCGCTGTTGTTGCATTACCTTCAGGTGAGTGAGAAACTGCCCAGGACAAGGTTTGGGGTCTGGCTCATCTCAACCTGTCTTGCCCCAAGACCCAGCCAAGTACTTCCCCAGCTCTGGGCCTTAGTCTCCTCATCTGTTCCAAGAGGTTGTTGGTACTGCTATTTTGAGAGGCTAAGTACCTCAGAACTGTGGTATCTGCAATGGTGAGCCCCTATCCCTCCCCTCAGTTCCAGGAATTTGGACCAAATTATAAGGCTAAGGATCTTCTAGTGTGTGGGGACCTTGGCAAATCCTTGTTTCTCTCTGGGCCTCTGTGAGGGGGCCAGTCAGCTGAATTTCTAAGCTCCCTTCCCCCTCCACCCCGTTTTTTAAGAGGCAGGGTCTCTGTCCCAGGTTGGAGTGCAGTGGCACAATTACAGCTCACTGCAGCTTCCAAGTCCTGGGCTCTAGTGATCCTCCTGGATCAGCCTCCCAAATGGCTGGAACTGCAGGCCCCTTTTCATTCTGTGGCCCAGAAAGGGAAAGACAGACTGAGCTGGGCACAGAGGCACCTTAGTGACAGAACCACTAAGGGAACTTGCCCTGGTGGAGCTCCTGGTGCAGGAGAGAAGACAGAGCCGTCAAGCAGGCACACAGCTGAATGTAAAATTGCAGTTTGGATGAGTCTGCGTTAGAAAATAGTGGTTATGGGGCCAAGACCTAATATGGGGGGGTAAGTGATCCTTTCTGAGACCTGAAGGGCAAGTAACTATTGACTAGGTGAAAGGGGAGAGAACATTCCAGATAGAAGAAACAGCAAAGATCTTACAGTTGAGTGAGATGGAGCAAGGAGAGGATGCTGCACAAGTGGGCAGGGACCAGGTGCAAGGCCTCGAAGCCACTGGGGATTTGAGCTGCACCCAAAGAGCATGGCAGGCCTTTGGAGGATTTTAAGCAGGGAAGCAACATGATCAGATTTGTGTTTTTGAAAAGCTTCCTCTGGCTGGCAGGGAGAATGGGATAGGGGCAGGTTTGAGACCAGGGAGCCCAGTGTCAAGGTTTTGCTATTATTTAAATGACAGTGGCTTGTTCAGGGTGGGGGCTATGGGGATGTATTAAAAGGGTGGATTTGAAGGCGCCAGCCACATACACCTAAGGTGGCGGGTTCGAATCCCCAGCCCGGACCCGCCAAACAACAATGATGGCTGCAACCAAAAAATAGCCGGGCGTTGTGGCGGGCGCCTGTGGTCCCAGCTACTTGGGAGGCGGAGGCAAGAGACTCGCTTGAGCCCGGGAGTTGGAGGTTGCTGTGAGCTGTAATGCCACGGCACTCTACCCAGGGGGACAGCTTGAGGCTCTGTCTCAAAAAAAAAAAAAAAAAAAAAAAAAAAGGGTGGATTTGAGTTTAGAAGGTAGAATTGACAGACTTTGCGGCTTGATATGTGGGAGGTGGTCTTTGGCCTGGGCATCTGGATGGTAGAGGTGTGGGTGCCCATGGGAGAAGCAGGTTGGACAAGGGAAGGTGAGGCATTTGGTGTGGGCCTGGCTGGGATTGAAGAGCCTGTGGACACCCAAGAAGGCCTCTGACTGCACAGGCACCGGTCAGTGTTCAGAGGCAGAGCTTGGGGTGGACGTGTGGACCATGAGAAGGGTGGGAATCTGGTGGCTACTGAGGGGCCAGTGAGATCCTGCAAGTATGGGCCCTGCGGAAGAGCTAGTGGTTGATCCAGGGACAGGTTGGAACCTTGGTGGGAGATGCCAGGCAGGGGCTTTGTGGCCACCCAGTGTCTGCCTAGACCCTCAGGGACCCTGGGTTCACTGGGAGGTACCCCACAGCTCCTCATACCGTACCCTCTTTCTTCCCCAGATCCTGCTCATCTCTGATTACTTCTATGCCTTCCTGCGGCGGGAGTACTACCTCACACATGGTCTCTACTTGACCGCCAAGGACGGCACAGAGGCCATGCTTGTGCTCAAGTAGGCCTGGCTGGGCACAGGGCCGCACGGACCTCAGGAGGGGAAGGGCCAGCAGCTGGGCCAGGCCCTCTATCCAGAGTTGCCAGCAGGCAAGTTCTTGGGCAGAAGTTCTAGTCCAAAGTCACGGATCTCTGGTACCAAAGGGGACTCATGGCTGACAGCAAGGCCTGTGGGAGTAGCTGAGAGCACCCCCTACTTTGTGGCTCTGCATACCAGGGAGCCCCCTACCAGGCAGGAAGGGGGAAGAAGCAGGTGAGCAGGGCTTATTAGGTTGTGGCTACTTAATAAATGTGTTTTGTTATGAAGAAGTCTACCCTGGGACCACATCCACTCCACACTCCTCTTACACTGCCCTGGGGTACTCTACATAGTTCTAGGTTTCTAGAAGGAGCCCTAGGTCCACAGACCACAAGTCTGTGAACTGGTGGGCTGAGAGTGGTATGGACCAATCCTGCAGCCCTCCCCATGCCCAAGCAAGCAGCTGGAGGCAAAGGGCCAGGCAGGCCTGAGCAATCTTTATTCTGCAGAGGGACAATGACCACAGATCCATACACCATGTGGAGACCGCGGGAGCCAGGGACCAGTCTGTCAGGTGTGGGCAGGTCCAGGCAGGGGGGCAGAGCTTCAGGTGGGTGAGGGGCAGATGGGAAGACAGGCAGGGGCCTAAAAAAAGACAAACCACACAGAGCAGGGGTGCTGGGGGCTGCTGTCTACCCTCTCCCATCCCAGGCAGCACCCAGAGGGGCAGTCCTAACATGACTGGCTTGGGATCCACCCAAGGGCATGGTAGGCTGGCTGGTGCCCCCTAGCTAGGGGGCACATCCCTGCCCAGCCCACCAGGGATAGCTCAGCTCAGGAGCTCCCTGGGCAGAACCTGACAGGGCCCCCCACTCCCAGACCAACCCCCCCCCTACTGCTGGCTCAGAAGCCGAAGGTTTCTTGGGAGGCGTAGACCATGTAGAGGAAGCCGTCCTCATCCTTCTCCTGCTCATAGATATCGGCAATGGGCGTGGACACGCTCACCATGCTGTGCTGGTTCACCAGCAGGAAAAAGGCCTGCGTGGGGTTCAGCTGCAGGCGGCGCCTGGGGGCGGGGACAGAAGGGTACCTGGCAGTGAGGGGCTAGGCTGCTGGAGAGGCGTAGCCCTGAACCCCTCCCCAGAGTGATTCTGAGCCCCCTTCACACCCATCCCCAACCCTTTCTAGAGGCTCTCACCACTGACCCACTGAGCCCGGCCCCCAGACCCGGCCCCCTGCCCTACTGCAGCTTGACCCAAGTCCCCCTGTGGCGGAGGCTGCCCACACACCGAATGATCTTGACCAACTCGCTCATGTTGACATGGTCTGGGACGAGGAACTTGGTCTTGTCCAGGACTGGCAGCTGCTTCTCACCCTTGTAGCGCTCGATGATCACCTGGGAGTGGGGTGGCAGGGGGTCGGGTCGGGGACGCAGGAACTCGGGGCGGGGCCTGGGCAGGGCGGGGCCGGGGGCGGAACTCACCGGGATCTTGCTGGGGTGCTGGTCGCGGATCTGCTGCACCTCCTTACAGCGGTCGGCTGCGGACGACCGCGGTCGGGCCGTGAGGCCGGGCCAGGCCCAGATCCTCCCCGACTCCGCCCCGCTTGTCCCCGAGGGGCGGCTCCGCCCCAGCCCCCGCCCCCGGGGCCGTCAGGCCCCACAGCCCCTGGCACCTAATGTGGTGGGGAGGCGGGCAGCCCCCGCCCAGGCCGGAGCCAGCCTCCCAGCCCGGGGGTCCGGCCGGAGCCTGACGTCACGGGGCTGACGTCACCTGCGGCAGTAGGGGTCAGTCGGCCTCCCCGAGCCCCCTGTCCCGCGCTCGCGGATCGCCCACCGGGCCTCACCGAAGCTCCGCCGCTGCTTGAAAGGCCGGTCCGAGGGCATCGCGCGGGCCCGGCAGGGCGCGCAGGCCGGGACTCCGGGGCGCGCGACGCGAGGATGTGGCTGCGGTTCGGGGGCTCCGGGGGCTCCGGGGGCTCCGCGCCTCGCGCTCAAGGGCTCCGGGGCTCGCGCTGAGCCCGGCGGCGGCGGCTGCGGGAGGTAACTCGCCCGGTGACGTCAGGTCACAACATTCCTTAAAGGGGAGGCCGGCGCGCAGCTCCCATTGGGCCGACGCAAAACCCGCCCGCCCGGACTCGTGACGTCACGGCGCAGAGAGCCTGGATTCTCGGCCCTAGACGCGAAGGGGCGGGGCCGCAGGCGTGTCACAGTCCTGTGACGTCATGGCCTGCATAAGCACCCCTTCCCCAGGCCGGGACTGAGGAGAGACCGGGAAGACCGCTGGGCTGTACCAGGAGCAGATGGCGCGGGGCTCCCCGTCTCACCCGGTCGCCCTACGCGCGCGCCTAGTCCGTTCCCGGCCTGACCCAGCGCTGGGCGCGGTGGGAAGGGCAGTGAGCCCGGGGTCCCCGCGCTTAGGCTGGAGGACCGAAAGCTGGGCCCTAGAAAGGAATTTCCAGGCTTTAAAAGGAATTCTAGAATAGAAAAATAGAATATTGAAATTCAGGCCTCAAAGGAGGAGGTCAGAAGGCAGATTAAGACACAGCAGAAGAGAAAATCACAGAACTGGAGGATAGATCAGCAGCAATTACCCAGAGAATCAAGGTGATGAAGAATATAAGAGGAAATGACAGTGATAACATGAGAAAGAACTCACAGGCCCAGAGTTCCAAGAGGAGAGAAAGAACATGGAGGGGCAGTTACTGAAGGAGAGCTTCCTAAATTAAAGACCAGGAGCCTCACTTAAAATCCACGGCAGGATAAATAAAAATAAAATCAACATTAGACATTTGGTAGTGAATTTGCAGAACTCCAAAGAATGAAAGATCTTAAAAACTACCAAAGGAGGATGGAGTAACTAAAAATACTTCGACCGGCTCGGCGCCTATAGCTCAACCGGCTAAGGCGCCAGCCACGTACACCTAAGGTGGCGGGTTCGAATCCCCAGCCCGGACCCGCCAAACAACAATGACGGCTGCAACCAAAAAATAGCCGGGCGTTGTGGTGGGCGCCTGTGGTCCCAGCTACTTGGGAGGCGGAGGCAGGAGACTCGCTTGAGCCCAGGAGTTGGAGGTTGCTGTGAGCTGTAATGCCACGGCACTCTACCCAGGGGGACAGCTTGAGGCTCTGTCTCAAAAAAAAAAAAAAAAAAAAATACTTCGACCAAAAGCAGCTTTCTCAGCAGCAAATATAGACACCAGAAAAAAAATGTAACCTTTAAACTCCTGAAAGAAAAACACTGCCAACCAATTGTTAATGACGTTTTAAGAGTTAAAGGGTAATGAAGCTCTGTTACAATGAAGAATTACACAAAAAAAACTACTGGCAAAATAATGTTTAAAGGATGTACTTTAGTAATAAGGACTTGTGATCCAAAAGGAAGAAATTAGATGGAAAAATGATGAGCAAACTGGTGAATGTATAAGTAAATCTAAACAGACACTTAATATGAATAGTAATGATTAAGTTGGGGTATAACAACAAGATGAATTCAGCACAAGAACATGTAAGACTGGAGAGGGCAATCAGAATTTAAGTGTTCTAGGAAGTTCAGTTTATTTTTTTAAGCAGTTTTTGGCTGGGGCTGGGTTTAAACCCGCCACCTCCGGCATATGGGGCTGGCGCCCTACTCCTTTGAGCCACAGGCGCCACCCAAGAAGTTCAGTTTGTTTGAAAGGAGGACAGAGATACTGATCATTGCCCAGTTTTATAAATCAGATACATATCTCAGATGTTTAAGAAGCATCACCAAAAGAATAGAAATGGAGGCTCAGCGCCCATAGCACAGTGGTTATGGCACCAGCCACACACACCAAGGTTGGCGGGTTCAAACCCTGCCCAAGCCAGCTAAACAACGACAACTGCAACAAAAAATATCTGGGCGTTGTGGCGGGCACCTGTAGTCCCAGCTACTTGGGAGGTTGAGTCAAGAGAGGTATAAGCCCAAGAGCTTGAAGTTGCTGTGAGTGGTGATGCAACGGCACTCTACTGAGGGTGACATAGTGAGACTGTCTAAAAAAAAAAAAAGAAATGGAAATATAACTGTCAATGCAGAGAAGTGAAATGGAAGTTGAAGGGTATTAAAAATATAATACACATGTAGAAAGCAGAAAAGGAGAAAAAGAAAGCAAAGTGAGAAGGATGGTAAATAGCACAAAACCGAAGGTAGAAAATGTGTTTTACATTCACCCATTAAAACAGATTATCAGGCCAAGAAAAATAAAATGCAGCTCTGTACTGTTTACAAGACGACATTGAAAACCTAAGGGCACCCAAAGTAAAAACATGGGAAAAGTATACTAGAGAAAACTGAACCGGAAAATGTACCTAGGGAAAAATCAGACAAAATAGGTTTTCAGGCAAAAAGCCAGTCAGGTGCAGTGGCTCACACCTGTAACCTCAAGCACGTTGGGAGGTGGGTGGGAATCATCACTTGAACCTATGAGTTTGTGGTTAGGTGAGTATGACTGGGGCGCTGTACTCCAGCGTGGGTGACAGAGAAAGACCTCATCTCTAAACAAAATCAGATTTTTAAAAAAGGACAGAAGACCTTATTAGGGAAGGTGAAAATATCTAAAGCAAAAATGACAATATACAAGGAGAAATTGTCAAGTCATCCATTCTTCATCATAGAGGGAGATTTAATACCTATTTTAGTAACTTATAGACCAAACATCCAGAAAAAAGGATATAGAAGATTTTAATAAAATCAATAATCCTGATCAATAAACCCCAGTAGAATCCTGAACCCAGCACATTACTTTCAAGCACATAGGAACATTTACAACAAACAACTCAATTGTTAGGGCACAAGACAGTTGGCCAGACATTAAATGTCAATTTCATACAGCCCATGTTCTCTGACCATAGACCAAAATAAGCTCCAAATGTTAGGAAATGTATAAATAACTATTCAAAGATGAAATTATATGATGAAAAATATTTAGATCAAATTAAATATGAGTATATACATATATATGCATGTGTGTATATATATATAAAATTTGGGAGAGGGGCAGCTAAAGCAACATTTAGAAGATTTATATCCTTTATTAGCTATGAAGAAATACAGAAAAATCAGTGAGCTGAGTGTCAAATTTAAAAAGTAATAACAGTCTAAACCCAAAGAATGTGTAAAGAACTTAATAATGAAGACCAGAAGTTGATGAAACAGAAAAGAAAAACACTAGGGTGGATGCAGTGGCCCCCACCTGTAATCCCAGCACTCTGAGAGGCTGAGGAGGGTGGATTGCTTCAGCTCAGGAGTTTGAAAACAGCCTGAGCAAGAGCAAGACTCCGTCTCTACTAAAAATAGAAAAACCAGGTGGCGCCTATAGCTCAGTGGGTAGGTGCTGGCCACATACACCAAGGCTGGTGGGTTCGAACCCAGCCCAGGCCAGCTAAACAGCAATGACAACTGCAACAACAACAAAATAGTCAGACATTGTGGTGGGCGCCTATAGTCCCAGCTACTTGGGAGGCTGAGGCAAGAGAATTGCTTAAGCCCAGGAGTTGGAGGTTGCTGTGAG